TACATTGTTTATTTTGTTTATTTCAGAATAATAAAAAGAATTAATTCTTCTCTCATGTGAGAGTTTCTTGTTCAGTTGTTAAAAAAAAGAAAAAAAAAGAAAAAAAAAGAAAAAAAAAGAGAAAAAAAAAGAGAAAAAAAAGAAAAGAAAAAGAAAAAGAAAAAGAAAACAGAAGAATAATTTTTTTGTTTTCATCCTCCTCAGACCAAAGGTAATTGCAGATTTTTATCAGCCGACCAAATGTAAGTGCTTCACTTCTTATCTGCTTTACTTTATGCATCATAGAGTTTGCATTGAGGACAATGCAAAATTTAGGTGTGGGGGGTGAGAATTAGTTATTTTTTCTCTTTATTTACATGTTTAGTTACATTTTTTATTTTTCCTCTTTATTTTACATTTTTAGTTACATTTTTGTTTTTTCCCCTTTTCTTTAAAAAAAATTATAAAAATATCGTCACTTGCCAAATTGATAGAGTTATGTAATAATTAATTTATTTGATAAATTTGAAATTTTCTAATCCTTAGTTGGTTATTTACTTAAGTTCACCTTTTATGATAACTCTAAATAAATTTCTTAAGAAATGATTTTCAAAGTAGTATACTTTACTTAAGCCTTAACTTGGACTTTTATTTAAAATAATGAAATTTTTGCATGCTTAACTTAGAGTTGAAAATAATTTTTCAAAGTGTCTTGATTTACATATTTTCAAAATATACATACATATACAAAAAAAAATTTGCAAAAGAAGAGTGCGAAAAATGAGCACCAAAAAATCTTATAAAGCCTAAGCTGACCGAGTAATTAAGCCCAAGGAGTATTTCCATACTTAATGACCTAAGCCCATTTGGGTTGGGATCCATTGGTCCAAAACTCGTTAAAATGTCACTTAGAAAGCCCGTTAAAGTAGAAAAAAATCACCAAGGATGAAAGAGTTTAAAAAAAAATTAAAAAAAAACTAATAAATGTTTTATAGTTGTATATATGGTCTTGGAAAATATTTTAAATCAAGCAACTTGAAAATTATTTAAAACAAAGAGTTAACATGTTCTTTTCAAAACTTTTAAATTAAATTTCTAAGTTTGGCTTGGTTTTGTATTGCTACAATGAGAAGATTTTCTTAAAAATATACCTTAGAGTTATATATAAAAATGTTTTCTTGAGTGATAACTGGCTCCAATTAGATTATCTAAAAGTTATCAAGTGAATTTAGTTATTTACTGACTTCTTTAATTTGGCAAGTTGACCGAATTTTGTGGGTATATTCACTGCAAACCCTCACGAGACTACAACTCGTCCACTAGGGTAACCTAGGGGTTTAAAGGCTTGTTGTATGCGCTAAATACAACCGCGATTCCTGCGAAAGTGAGTTAGGATTTTCTTTTTATTTTCTTTGCTAGAGGACTAGCAAAAGTTTAGGTGTGGGGGTATTTGATAATCACATTTTATTACAATTTTATACCTTTTATACCCTCATTATCTATTTTACATGAATAAATATACCATTAATAATTGTTGATTAGCTTAGTTTTTACATAATTAAATGAAAATATAAATAAATATTATTAAATGTAAAAACCCCTCAAAATCTCTTTTCTCTATTTTGCAGCATTTTAAAAGCCTATATTGAAAGCCCATCAAGCAAATGATGGCCCAAAGAAGAAGAAAAAAATAAAACAAAAATCCTCCATCACATTGAAGCCCAAAGCCCATCAATAAATGTTTGCATTTGTTTCTCAAAGACTCAGACTGCTGCAGTTTGTCAATTGGCCGAAAATGCAAGGACTTAGGGACTTTGGACAAATGGGCCGGTCTTGGATTTTGATTTTATTTTGAAAATCAATGAAGCTTGGGCCGGACCTCTTATTTGCTGCTGGAAATGTGGACTTGGTTGATGCATTTAATTCCGAAAATAATTGGTTGCTGCAGATTTGTTTGGAGAAAGAATGGGCCGGCTTGGTTTTGGACTGTAGCTTTTATTTTTGTTAATGGACCGAAGTGTAGGTGGGCTGCTGAGATATGGACCGGACTTGATTGGATTTTCATTTATTTTTGAAAATCAATTGGACCTCCAATATTTGGGCTAGAGAAGAACAAAAAGCAAATTCAAAGGTGAAGATTGTGGCTTGGGGCTCAAGACAAATCCAATGGCTCATATTCATTGAAGATTACTATAAATAAGGGTAGAGAGTGAGGGGTTAAGAGTGTGAAAAATTTTGTAAACTCCTTTTGGAGAGGAGGGCTACTCTTAATTGAGAAGGCCTTCCAAAAATTGTAACTTTAGTTACAATTAATAATAATAATTTTTTCACCACTTTAAATATTTCTTCTCTTTGTTGGATGATGAAGATGGAGATGAAGAATTATTTAGAGGTTTGCATTTTCTTTCCTTTTTCTCTTTTATTTCCTTTTTATTGCTTATTAGTGTAGATTTATTTCTATGCTTGTAGTTTAGATTTTATTTTCTTGTTAAATAGCCAAGAGGCTAGAACCCTCTTGCCTTAGATTTATTTCATGCTTATAGAATAGATTTAATTTCTTGCATTTAATTCTTGCAATTTTATTTTGTAGTTTAGATTTTGCACTTTATTTTGTAGTTAGATTTTAATTTCTTATACTATTCACCTTGAGGCTAGAACCCTCTTGGGTTTAGTTTTTCTTTTTGTTTATTTTTATTTTGTTTGATTCGCCTTTAGGCTAGAACCCTCTAGGGAATCACCCTTTTCTAAGAAGTGGGTTCAATTGTAGATTACCCATATCTATAATTGAATCCACCATCTTTAATTTCTTGCATTTTCTTTTATTCGAGAATTTTGTTCTTCATTCTTGAATTTTCATTTGTTTCTTGATTTTATTCAATTTTTTTTCCTTCTCACCTTATTGATCACACTCCTTCTTTGTCACATCCACTCTCACTTAAATTTTGCGCCGTTTCACACACTATCACTTTCACTCTCATTATCTCTCCATAATCACATTTACTCATCACTCCTACTTGTCACGCACACAACATAAGAACCGATTTTATATTTTCTCCTACAAAACACCTTCCTCGTGGGATCGATATCTTAAATACTATAACTTGACACGGTTGTGCACTTGTAACCTTTTTGGTACATATTTATGCCGCATCAGGTTCTAAGATACATTCAAGGAACCTCAAATGTTGCATTATGTTATGGGGGATCTGATTTTATTGTCAGTGGATATGTTGATTCTGATTATGCAGGTGATCGTGATAATAGCAAATCCACCACAGGTTATGTGTTTGCACTTGCTGGCGGAGCTGTAAGCTGGGTTTCAAAACTACAGTCAGTCAGAGTATGTAGCAGCTACACAAGCCAGTAAAGAAGCGATGTGGTTGAAGATGGTGCTGGAGGAACTCGGCTATGAACAAAAGAAGATTTCTCTATTTTGTAACAGTCAGAGTGCTTTGCATTTGGCAAAAAATCCACCATTTCATTCAAAGACCAAGCACATTCGAGTTCAGTATCACTTCGTTCGTGAGAAAGTGGAAGAAGGAACATTGGATATGCAGAAAATTCACACCAAGGACAACCTAGCAGATTTTTTGACAAAAGCAGTCCATACCGACAAATTTACTTGGTGTCGATCCTCTTGTGGTCTGTCAGAGACGTAAGCAACATGAAGATGACAAGATAGAAAGAATGATGTGAAGATATGATTGATATTCAATCAAATTTTCAAGTGAAAGATTGTTAGGCGCCTAATGAAGCCAAGCACCGAAAAAACCCTTCACATCCAGCAGCCAATGTTGAAAAGAAAAAAGAAAACAAAATGGTGGGGCCCACTGCTACAGTAAAATATTAATATTTTATTGTGCATAGTGTTTTTCAAAAAACTATAAATAGGGCTCCAAATCCTTAAGAAAATCTCATCCCAGAAACTTCTTCTTATATAGAAGAGTGTGAGAAAAAAAATAGAGAGAGTTTCTTCTTGCAAAAGAGAGATTGTAACTCCAGAGTTTTCTCCTCATAGTGAATTCTTCTATCCTTGCCCGTGGACGTAGGCAATCAAGTGCCGAACCACGTAAATCTGTGTGTCCAACATTTTATCTTTACTTTTGCTCTACTATTGCCGCGACCCTGCTCTATTGGGCCCCGGGTTTGTCCTAACAGATCCATTATACTCTATCTAAAGAACCGGAGTTTCACAAAATTTTAAAAACAATAACAAAAAATTGTGCAACATTTAGTGTTACAAGTAACAGATCGATAAGATTTTTTAATGATAGAACATCTATAGTTAAGTGTATTTCTACAATTTTATATATGCTGCTATTGTTGACACAACCAATGAATTATGTCCCAATAAAACAAGCCATGAAATGAATATTTGTAATTTCTATGATAGCACATCTATGATTAAGTGCGTTTCTATAATTTTATGTTGCTATAGCTGACGACCAATGAATAAATGTCTCAATAAAACAAGTCGTGATCAGACGAATGCTAATTTGGAACTTATATATTTGATGTATGATACCAAGAATCGGTGAACCGTTTTTATTTATTTTTATTTTTATTTTTAAAATTTCACACAAGTCATTAACGACCACGCGTAGCATTATCTCTAGCCTTGTTTCGATCCTTTCCGTCACCGTCTGCCTTTAGAAACCAAAACTTCGGCCAATTCGATGACATCCTAGCATGCTGCAGGGACTATGCCGTCTTGTTCTCATTAAGGCGTGACGAAGGCATGCAGCCGACTAAGCAGCAATCAGTGATAAGTACATTTAGTACCTAACGAATTATCATCTTCATCAACGCTGCCTGCAAATATTTATCTTCTCTAAAGTCAAACCATTGGACCGCTCCACGCTCCTCTTTCGCCTGTCCAACAAGACCACATGGACCCTTCTCAACTTCCTCTACTCCTTCACCTTCCTCCTCCTCTTGTTAAAACTGATCAGAAGCAACATTAACCAAGATCATAATAAACTACCACCAGGGCCTCCAAAGCTCCCGATCATTGGCAACATGCACCAGATGCTCGGCCCTCTTCCACATCGGATCCTTCAAAAGCTATCCAAGAGGTACGGGCCCATCATGCACCTAAAACTCGGCGAGATCTCCCATGTGATTGTTTCCTCCCCAGCAGTAGCTAGAGAGATCATGAAGACCCGTGATCCAAACTTCGCCGATAGAGCGATATCAGCTACCACCAAGATCGCATCTTACAATGCCAGAAGCTTGTCCTTCGCCCCTTACGGTGATTATTGGAAACAGATGAGAAAAATCTACGTCTCGGAACT